CTGCTGCTCAAGCCCTGCCTCTGTGGCGTGTCCGGCTGTCACGGCTGTGCCGGAGCTGGTGGGGATTCCAGAGGGTTTCCCACCCTGTTCTTGTCACCTGTGTGCTCACTGTGGGGACTTGACCTCTGAGACCCGCACGAGTCCCAGCAAGCATGCGGCCCATTGGCTGTTTCAGGGTCTGCTGTTCCAGTTCCTTTGGGTACACAGCAAGGAAAGGAGGTTGGGATGACCCGGATCCTGTCCCTTAGGTCTGCTTGCTGCCTGGCGGCTTCCTGCCTGTCCCTCGGGCCCTCTGGGCCTCTCGAGCTGGACTCGACCCAGGCCAGGCTCCTTGCCACGTGAAAATCGCACGAGTGCCCCAGGACTGCGCTGCCCCGTTGCGGATGGGAGCAGGGCGGTGGGTGAGGGGCAGCCCTAGATGCAGAGCGTTTGTGGGAACCCGCCCCTCCCCCAGAGCACCCCACGGCAGGGTGAGGCCACCCACTGGTGGCGTGGAGACCCCAGAGTCACGGCCTGTGGTGCCACAGCTCCTGCGTGGGCCCTGCTCAGAGGCCGTTGAAAGGTTCACCTGGGGGCGGAGCAGACCCGACAGGAGCCCCCGGGCGAGCAGACTCAGCCGTGGCCCGGGCTCCCGCCGCCCTGGCCCGTGCCGCGCACCTGCTGGGGCTCCGAGTGCGGAGCAAGGTTCAGCCGGGGACCCCCCTTCAGAGGGGCAGGGGCTGATCTGTCGCAGCCGCCCTTGCCTCTGTCTCCGTCCCCGGCGTGGGGAGGGCGTGGACTGCGGGGTTCAGGCCCCACCAGCTCTGGGCATCCCTGGCCACAGGAGGTGGCGTCTGATGGAGATGTTCCAAAGGTGCCTTTTGGGGACGAGCGTCGTCGCCGTTGTGACTGCCCCGGCGCTTCCCCGCAGACTCAGAGCTGGGTTGGGCCCGGGGTGGACAGGGCTGCGCAGGGCGAGGTCTTTACTCCACGAGTGTCTCTCCCTCCTTCCCTCCACACCGCCCGCCTGACCAGGGCAGGGCCTTGCCCGTGACGCTCCGCGGTGTGCCCGGGGTGGTCCCGTAGCCTGGCACGGGTCGTCTTTCTCAGGCGTGCGGTTGGGGCCCAGGGGGCGTTTGCTCAGCTGGTCGGGTCCGCGTCTGGGGGGCTGACAGGTGCAGCTGTGCCTCTGCCGCCCTATTCTGCCCTCGCTCCACTCCCTTGGCTGACTTTGGGGTCTCAGCTGTTAATTACACCTGCCCATCAGTCTTGGAGCTAATCTGCGAGGTCAGGCTGCAGAGGTGACTCGGACCGCTCTGCCTCTTGTCCTCTCCAATCCGGATCCGTTTCATTGACTAACTCCTGGCTGAATACTGCCGGTTAATTACAGCGATCACAGACCTCCCCGCGCCAGCCACGCAGCGCGAGCGAGGGCTCGGGAGCCGGGCGCCAGCCTCACTAATTGGCGCTGCGTAGTGGAGGTATCGATCGCCGGGCCGGCCGGTGAGTGACGGCCTCCGCCTCTAAGGGGATTAGGCCTCACCCCAGACGGAACCCTGCCCCAGAGAGCTCCTCTCTCGCTGGCCGCCCCGCTGGCCTCCCACCCGCTGACGCTTGGAAACGAGGCTGATTCAGAGACCAGCGACGTGGGGAGGAGTCACTCTGGGGACAGGGGACAGGGCAGGGGTCTGTGGCCCAGCAGCCCTGGGTCTGTGCACACTCTTATGACAGGGCTGTGAGGGTCTCCACATTTGTGAAGTTGGGGTGCTAAGGGCCCTGGGGCCTGGCACATGGTGGGCTCAGAAGCTCCAGCTCCGCGAAAGGACCCGAGGCCCTGAGTCTTGGGCTCCGGGCCGAACTTTAAGAAGGGGAGTGGGGGCTGGGCGCGGCGGCTCCTGCCTGTAATCCCAGCACTCTGGGAGGCCGAGGCAGGAGGATCACTTGAGGTCAGGAGTTCAAGACCTGCCTGAGCAAGAGCGAGACCTTATCTATACTAAAAATAGAAAAAATTAGCTGGGTGTGGCGGCACGCACCTATAGTCCCAGCTACTCGGGAGGCTGAGGCAGGAGGACCGCTTGAGCCCAGGAGTTTGAGGTTGCTGTCAGCTGGGCTGATGTGACCACACTCTATCCCGGGTGACAATGAGACTGTTTCAAAAACAAAAGGGTGGACGGGGCAGTGGGCATGGCCCCAGTTGCAGTGGCCGAGAGCTGGGCCCAGCCCAAGTGGCCACCATCAACACCATCCACATGATGTGGCTGAGCCGAGCCCACGCGGGGGAGTATCGCAGCCATAGAAAGCGGCGAAGTCCCCACGCAGGCCACGACGTGATGAGCTATGAAACGTCGCGCTTGGTGAATGAAGCTGGACGTGAGAGGCCGCGTGTCCTTGTACGGTTCCAGTCACGTGAAACGTCTGGGGGAGGCGGGTTCGTAGGGACAGAAAGCAGACGGTGGCTTCTCGGTGCCCCGCCAGGACGCTCTCAGGAGGGGCAGGGAGCGGCCGCGCTGGGCGCAGGGTTTCTCTGGGGGACATGGAGGTCGGGGCGATGGCCGCCCAGCTCTGAACGCACTGAAGTCACTGAGCCGCGCACCCGATGGGGTGAGTCACACGGGGTGGGAATCGTTTCAGCAAAGCCGTCGTAGCGCAAAGAGCAGAGTGGTAGAGACCCCGTGGAAAATCCTTTTTGTAGAGAAAGATCCCTTCCCAAGTTTTCTTTTCTTTTTTTTTTCAAAAGCTTACAGCGACCTTTATCGAAATCTGGATACGTACAGAAAAGCGCGCAGAACGAACCCCCCAGTCAGGACACAGCCCGTCCTGGGTCCTCGCCACTGCCCTGCCCCAGGGGGAGCTGTCCGGACCTGAACCCCCTCAGGGTGTTTTCCGTCTTCCGAACAAGGTGGCCGTGTGCCCACGTCTGTCCTGTCTTGCTCCCGGTGTCCGGGCGACTGGTGTGGCCGAGGGCTCCCAAGCCCAGCTCCATCCCAGGACACGCCAGGCCCGGTCCCTTCTGCCGGGTCTGCCTGAGCCTTCTTGATGTGTCTTTGGGCAACGTCAGCTCCCGTCTGTCTGGCTGCGCTCTGGGGTGGGGTTGCTGGCCCGGGGCGTGGGTGTCAGGGATGGCCAGTGCTCCAAGGCTGCCCAGACGGGGCTCCCGCCAGCTCGGGGTGAGGCTGGGGTGTGCTGAGCGCCCCTGACTTCCAGCGTTTCTCTTCACCTGGTTTATGTGTCGCAGCCAACCAGCCCCCAGGGGCCATTCCAGAACGGCGGGGTCTGTCCCCAGGCCTCTGCCCCCCAACGCCGTCCCTGACACTGGTGTCGCCGGGTGGGTCTCTTCCCACTGGGAGCAGAAGTGGCTTCTCCTCCCGAGGTGGCGACTCTGATGGGGTCCACACCAGCCCGAGCTTGGTCGGCGGCCAAATTGGGATTTAGGCCTCAGCCTGCTCAGTGCCCGGTCCTGAGGCGTGACCCAGTCACTAAGGGGTGTGGAATTCCTGGGGTGTAGACAGTAGTCTGATCCATCTGGGAATTTGGGAGTTCACTCCTCAGGCAGCAACCCTCAGACCTCACTGCCCAACCTGGCCAGGCCCAGTGACAAGGTGGCCGCCTTGCCCTGCGTAGTTCGGGGTCATTGGGCAGAACGTGCTGCTGGGTCGCTCTGGGGCATGGCCTTCAGGGTGGGGCGGGGGCTGATCTGGGTAGATGGGGGGGGTCTCCCCCACGGGGCCGCCCTGTACAGCTGTACAACCTGCACACACGCCCAGAGGGCCGTATTAAAGAGGCCCAGACAGCGTTTCTGCACGAGGGGGCAGGGCTGTGCCCTGGGGAGGGGGTGCCGTGTAGGCCCCGACAGGCGCACCACCCCAAGGCAGAACCTTGCTCAGAGCAAAGCCACTCTGATGTCGGGGTGCCCGTGCTGGGGCCTCTGCCTCCTGGTCACACCGTTGAGGCTGCCCTTGGCCGGTCGGGGACGCGGGAAGAACGGAGCGTGCCTCAGTGGCTTCCTTCCTGCCCGATTCCTCGGTGGCCGTGAGGGTGGTCGCAGGGCACCTGTGAGCAGCGGTTCTGTTTGGCGATACGAGCGTGGCCGCCGGAGAGGGTGTGAAGATGTCGGGACGTGGGGGTCCCTCCGTCCCTGCAACTGAGCTCCGAACAAAGGGAGGCTGCTGGGAGGGGACGGCCTGGGATTCTCCTTCCGGACGGGGCTGGGGGTGCTTCCACCCCCTCGGGCCAGCGCCCCCTGGCACAGCCGTCCTGTGAGGAGGGGTCTGGGCGCCTGGACACAGGTGCTGCTGATGGGTGGGACGTGTGCCTGTCCCCCCAGGGGACCTGGAACCACTGGTGCTGTGCCGTGAGACCTTAAAACCTGGAGCCCTTTGTGGCTCTGGGGCGGGCAGGGTCTGCCCTGCGTCCGTGTGGGGGCCTGGGAAGGGGACTCGGGACGCAGGCGAGCCGTAGCCGTGCGGGCGTGCGGCAGTCTCTGTGCAGCCCAGCCACAGTTGGGGTTCGCGTGTGTGATCGTGCAGCCACCGAGCCTCTCAGGGACCCCCGGACAGCCCCAGCCTCAGTCACGGGGACTCGAGACCCACATGGAGAGTGGGGGTGCTGGAGGTGAGGCTGGCACCTGCTGGGGACAGATTACCCTGGGGACTCCCGCTACCCCGACACACACTCTGTCCTGCCTGGCCGCAGAGGGGTGAGCCGCCGGTCCGAGCAGCTTGGCGGACTTTGCTGCTGGATGGAGGCAGCCCCCGCCTTAGCGCCTCGGGACGATTCCTCCTCATCCTCCGTGGATCAGTTGTTGGGGGGCCAGCCCTGCCCACCCCCACCCCCACCCCCACTGCCCTCAGGGTCCCAGAACTAAACGCCCTCTGACCCCTGTTCCTCTCGGGGGTGGGGGCAGGGCTGGGCCTTCTTTCTGGGGCGCTGAGAACGCCTCCATCACGGCCAGGGGCCCTGGTTGGCGTGGCAGGTGACCGCTGTCCCGGCTCCCACTCAGGCCACCGTGTTCTCTTCCCCAGGGTCTTCACTGAGCAGCGAGTCGTCCCCCGTGTCCTCTCCGGCCACCAACCATAGCTCTCCTGCCAGCACGCCGAAGCGCGTGCCCATGGGCCCCATCATCGTCCCCCCGGGGGGCCACAGCGTCCCCAGCACGCCCCCCGTGGTGACCATTGCCCCAACCAAAACCGTCAATGGCATCTGGAGGAGCGAGAGCCGGCAGGTGAGTGGCCGCGGCGGGGCGGGCGCAGGGAGCAGGCGTCCCCAAAGGGAGGACTGGATTTGGCACCCGGGGAGCTTGTGAGGTTGAGTTTAAGGTGCAGACACCCCACCCCGACCGGAGCCTCTGTCTCCTGCAAAGCGGGGTGACGGGCACTCGCCGGGAGGGCTGTCGGGGTAAGTAAGTTAATCTCTGTCGCAGGCGGGGGGCGGGGGGGCTTCAAGGCTTATTTTCATCTGTTCTTGAGGCCAGAAGTCGGAGGTCAAGGTGTTGTGGGGTTGGTTTTTCCAGAGGCTTTTCTCCTTGGCTTGCAGGTGGCCACCTGCTCCCCGTGTCCTCACGTGCTCCCCTCTGTGCCTGTGTCCTGGTCCCCTCTTACAAGGATGCCAGTCACATTGGGTCAGGGTCCACGCTAGAGGCCTCCTTGAAGCCTGTCCCCACTGCGGCCACGTCCCGAGGTCCCGGGAGCCAGGCCTTCAGCACACAGACTGGGGCGGGGGATGCAGCCCGCAGCCCTGTAACGTGCCGAGACGGCATGTGCACAGTGTAAACACTCGGTAAACAATAGCGATCGCTATTATTACGTCGCCCCAGCCAAGAACTGAGATTGGAAGAGCACCAGCCCGTGAGCGCAGAACCGGGGAGCTGGTGGTTTGTGTTTCTGTCTTAACTTTGGAAGCCACAGAGGAGGCCCTTCCAGGGCTCGGGGGTCCCTGCATCTCCAGCCCCTCCGGCCGCACCTGTCACCTGCTGTGGGAGGGGCCGGCGGCCCTGGGAGCTGCTCCTGTGCAGTCCGCGCTGGGACCTCCCCGCCCGCCTCCCTCTCCCCGCACTCGGTGCGGCGGCCTCGTTAGGAACCGTCCTCAGCTGCGGTTCTCTCCTTAGTGTTCCTGCTGCATTCCCGGAGGGAGGATGGCACCACTTGGAAATCCTAATTAAGCCACAAAGAAGGCGGCAGGGAGAGGAGAGCGCGTCCCCCTCCCCAGGCATTGAGCACCCGGCTGTTGTCCCCTGGGCAGCCTCCAAGCCAAGGGGAAGACCCCCAGGATCCCCAGGAGTAACTTTGGGCGGCCTTGCTTCCTGCAGTCCTCTCTGGATGAGGTGACAGACCCGTCCAGAGCGTCACCTTGCCAAGACCCCTCTGCCCCCACAGGCCTCTCCTGGCCCCCCTCATCCCCGTGTGCAGTTTGCAGATGGCGGACATGAGGGGACCCAGAGGGTGAACTCCAGCCAGAGCGGCCTCCCCTGCCCAGCGGGCCCTGGAGCAGCCTGAAGCAGCCCTGGTCCTGGTTTGAGGGGGGACAAGGAAGTCACCACCAGCTCCCCTGTCTTCAGAGGCCACCCTTGGGGTTAGCCTCGATCCCAGGGACCCTGAGTCACCTGAGCTGCGGGTCCTCCCTCCACCCTCAACTCACGGGCCTGGCAGGGCGGGCTGGCTCTTGCTGTGGTCTGGGGGCGGCTCACGGGAGGTCACTCGCACCCAGCCACTGCCCTGTCCCCAAGAGTCTGCTGCCCGGACCCAGGACGCCTCATGAATATTCCTTCACGGGGCTTGAGCGCCTTTGCGAGTGAATCCCCCGCTCAGAGTTCGTCCCTGTCCTCGAAGGGTCCTTACCGCCAAAGAGACACTTAGTAACCCCAGGAAGGGGCCGTGACAGATCTGCCACCGCGGTGCCTAATGGAACACGGCCGCCACCAGGGAGGGCGCGAGGAGGGGAGCGAGATTAGCAGATGATGTGTGGCTCGCGGCTCTGCAGGTGCCCGGGGAAGTGCGTCCCTTCCCCACGCTGGGGCCGTGGCTCATTAGGAGGCCACAGACACAGGAGGGAGTTGTCGGGGGTCAGTGGTTTTGGGGCCCCTTCTTGGGGGTCACCAATAACCCCTCAGGTAGTGGGAGCTGCGGAAGGAGAGATGAAATGAAAAACAGTCTGTTCTAAAGCTCACGGGGCACGTCCTGCCTGTCTGCCTGCGGAAACCTCTCTCTAATCACCAGAGAACGACGGATTCCTCCTCCCCCTCCCCTCGGCCTCTCCGTTCATGGCTGCAGCTGGGCCCGCAGCCGCTGCTCAGAAATGAAAAGCCGCCCCACAGATGCGCCCTGTCGCACGTCTGTCTGCCAGGACGGCGGTGGGACGCTGGCTGCCGCTGTCGGGATACCTTGGGGTGGCCAGCAAGCCTCCCGGCCTTGCCCTGGGGGGCTGCCGCGGGCTCCCCCGCCCTCCTGCTGGGCAGCCCCATGCGTCGCTGGGCCCTGCTGACCTAGTTCCCCGACTCTGGGCGAGCCTGGCCCGGCTCCAGCCAGACGGGAGCCGCAGACGTGCGGGCCTGGCTCGCTGAGCCCCCTGCCCGCCGGCCGCTCCCCCAGCCTCCCTGACTCCTTGTCTGTCCTCAGCCAGGCCAGGAAAGTGCCATCTGGCCCAGCCGCCTGCGAGCAGGGCTTTGTCCTTGGCCGAGGGGAGAACAGGCTTAGGGGGTCAAGGACAGTGTGCTGGGCAGGACCCCCCTGTGGCAGGTGGCCCGGGGCTGCCACGCTCCGCTGTTTGATGCAGGTACGCAGAGGCAGGTGGCAGAGCTGGGGTGGCGCGTGCCGTCCCTGGGTGGAGGTCTGTCCTCCAGGGACCTTGCTGTCTCTGGCCACCCAGGGCTGGGGTGGCTTTCGAGCCCCCTGGCTGCTGTCTCCCTTGGCCCCTGCCCAGGCGGGAGGAGAACTGGCCTCCGGGGAGCCAGTGCTGCGAGTCCAGAGGCCGCACCTGCCAGCTTTGGGCCTGGTGCTCAGGGGGGCCGAGGGCCACTCCGACGCCTTCAACCCATCTCAGTCCTCGGGCACACGGGTGACCCTGTCCTGGGTCATCTTCACAGACATGGGCTGTGCCAGGGCGAGGGCTGTGCAGGAGAGCCCAGAAGCCCTGCCCTGGACAGGGCCCCCGATGCTGGTGTGGACGGGTCGTGCAGGGGGCGACGGAGTGAGCGGGTGGCGCCCTGTGTGCGTGAGCCCTCGGCCCTGCCCGTGCGCTTGCTTCCTGCAGCAGCTGCGCAGCCAACACCCCTCACCACAAGCTGGTGCTGCGGTTGGCACATCCGGCAGATGGGGACACTGGGCTCGTCCAGGGTCTCCAGGACCAGACAGGAGCCCGTCCCCTGAGGCCAGTGGGGAACCCGCCCTGCTGGCGACACGGCCCCTGGAGGACCCCAAGGCCAGGTGCAGGCCCCTCAGGAAGAGGTTCTGGGAGGCTGGGCTCCCAGCCCCACTCAGGGCGTCAGTGCCCATGTGTGCGTCCCACTCTCGAGACCGCTGCCCCGGGAGGCGCGGGTCAGAGGTCCTGAACCTGCGAGGACCCTGCTGACGGTGCGGGCCGGGGCCGCGTGCGCAGGCACAGAGCAGATGTTGCTGCTCATTAAAAATTCCAGCCCGCGGCCCGTCTCCTTCAATTGCTCGTCACCTGCTGTCTCCCGGAGGGCAGGGGGGTGCGTGTGGGGAAGTGCGCCTGACGGGCCGCCTGCACCTTCTCCACGACTTGTGCCGTGTGCCATGTCATGGTCTGCCTCGTGAACACGGGCGGGCACCAGGGAGGGCACGGTGACCCACCCCTCGCCGCTCACACAGGGAGGTAGAAAGCAGGGGGGCGGCCCCGGCCTCCTGAGAGGAAGTCAGTTGGCCGTGTGGCCTGGGAGCCCCTCGCCTCCAGCGCCTGCCACGTGTCCCCCTGTCATTCCTGCCGACTCAGCGAGGAGGCGGTCGGAGCGCCTCGTTTTCTGGGTATTGGGTGTTTTGTGACTCGCTATGGATTTGGGGCAGCAGGGCTGGGCTTGTGCCCCGGGAGCACTGCCTGCTGGTCCCCACATCAGTGGCGGGAGAGGAGGGGGCATCATGGGGGCGTGAAGGTTGCGTCCCTCGTGGCTCAGGGTAAGCCCAGCCAACGTCCTCACTTTGGGAGGACCCCAGGACCCCCAGGGCCGAAAGCAGCAGCTGCTCCAGAATCCAGAGCGCCCCCACCCCACCCCCGTCTAGGACTGATCCTCTGAGCCTTGCTACACATCTTCCTCTTTGTCGCATAAATGACAATAGGCAGGACCGTCCATGGACTGGTTTCCCTGGGCCAGACCCTGCCGCGTATCGGCACGCAGAACGCCCCTCCCCTCAGTGTGGCTGGGGTGGCACAACCCCCCTTGGTCTCCGCAGGGACTTTAGCCAGTGGGCGGGCCTTGGGCTGTCTCCTCGTCCTGTCTGGGGTGAGCCCCTCCCCTGGTCCCTTGGGGACCCCTCCCCAGCCAGGCCGGGGTCTGCTCTGTCCCCCACCCCGAATGTGTGCAAAGGTGCCCCAGACAGGTCTGGCCTGTGAAGGCCCAGCAGCTGCCTGCTGTGGCGGGTGCCAGGGCCACCCCAGGAGTTGGCCAGGGGTAGAGCAGCACGTTCACCCCAGGGGCAGAGCCAGCTTCCCATGGCCCCGGCCCTCTGTGTGCACCAGAGGCCTGGGCAGCCGTCGTCCTGGCTGCGGATGGAGCTCACTTCCTGGGGTGCTGGCAGCCAGCGGCATCCGCTTCCCCGTGCGTGGGTCAGGGTGAGCGTGACCCTGTGGGGTGCCCCTACCGTGCCGTGTCCTGTCGCCTGTACATGTCTTACACCAAGGAGGCCCAGTGTGGAAGAGAGAGCCTAAGAGGGGTTTCAGTCCAGGCCTATCCGTCAAAGCCGTGTTCTCCTTACTGTTCCACTTCCCGTGCACGCCATGTGCACTTGGAGTTTGGGGTAGGAAAGCTTAAAGGAAGGACGTTTCTAGAATGTGAACTAAGTCTAGAGCCTTTCCCGTGAGTCGGGAGGAAGAGCTGGCTCCGTCCGGGTGGGCAGTGGGCTGCCCGGCCCTGACCCGACAGTGCCTTCCTGCAGGACGCCAGCTCTCGGGGCAGCAGCAGTGGCCGGGAACGCCTCGTCGTGGAGCCCCCGCTGCCCCAGGAGAAGGCAGGGGGCCCAGCCATCCCCTCCCACCTGCTCAGCACCCCCTACCCGTTCGGCATCTCCCCCGGCTCGGTCGTGCAGGATTCCCGCTTCCCACCGCTCAAGTAAGTCCGCCGCTGGGGACGAGGCCGGGGGAAACGTGCTCTGGTTGGGGTCCCGGAGCCGGGCTCCAGCCACTGTCCCCAGCAGCCTGGAGTCTGCACCAGCTGAGGCCAAGTGCCTGGCAGATCGTGGCTGGCCTCTGCAGCCGCTGCACCCCAGGGGTCCAGGGCCCTGTCTGTGCCTGCCGTCCCTTCCACGCTCAGATGGACGTGCGGTCCCTACCCCTGCTCTAACCTCATCTCCGGTTCCGGGGGACGCATCTGCTGATGGGGACAGTAAGGGGGCTGGTGGGCCTGAGGAGCAGCAGCTGCCCAGGCTGGGACCCGTCCCCAGAGGGAGACTCATCCTTCCTCGGGTGACAGTGGCAGGGGCAGCTCACCTGTCTCCTCCCTCCCCGGCCATCACCCCTGCAGCCTCCAGCGGCCTGTGCACCACGTGGTGCCCCCTAGCACGGTGACCGAGGACTACCTGAGAAGCTTCCGGCCCTACCACACCGCCGAGGACCTCCGCATGTCATCCCTGCCTCCCCTGGGCCTGGACCCAGCCACTGCCGCCGCCTACTACCACCCCAGCTACCTGGCCCCGCACCCCTTCCCCCACCCGGCCTTCAGGTGAGGCGGCCCCCTGCGCGCGCTCTCGTCCCGCACTAATCTGTTCTGGCGGGAAAGTTGTTCCTCACAACCCGGGGGCCCGACTCCCAGGGGAGCATCTGGAGAAGCCCCTAAAATCGTCCCCAGCATTAAGCCTGAATTCAGTCCGAGTTCGGCCCTGGTGATCCCTGGGATGTCCTCCTGGTGGACACCCCGTTGGTGTCTGAGCCGTCGTTGTCATCGGTGTTGGGGGGACGGACCCTGGCGAGTTGCTGGTAACAGGTTGGGGCTTACACTAGGACAGGGGCTGCTCCGCTGTGTAGCGGGAGACCCCGGTGGCTCTGTGTGGCGCGTCTGGTTCTGTGTCGAAGCTCCCCGCAGCCCAGCCTGAAGGGCCTGCAGTGATGACGTGGCCTGCCCCGTGGCCTGCCCCTCAGTCCGCGCTGGTCTGGCCAAGCTGGGGGCGGCGGCAGGTGGGCTTTGGAGCTCTGTCGGCACCTAGTGGCCTCTGGCAATGAAGGGCTTTGGGGCTGGCAGTGGGTGTGGCCCTAACCTGCAGCCATTTTGCCCTGTTCAGTGTGCTTGGGCAGGTGTACCTGGCCAGGGCACCCATTAACAGGCTGGGTCTCATCCTTTGTGACTTTGGCGCTCATCAGCCCCTATCTTCTCGGCACAGGATGGACGACTCCTACTGCCTGTCTGCCCTGAGGTCCCCGTTCTACCCCATCCCCACCCCCAGCTCCCTGCCCCCGCTGCACCCATCGGCGATGCACCTGCACCTCTCTGGGGTCCGCTACCCGCCGGAGCTCTCCCACTCGTCCCTGGCAGCGCTGCACTCTGAGCGGATGTCCGGCCTCAGCGCAGAGAGGTGAGTGGGTCCTACGACGGCCAGGAAGAGAGGCTGGAGCCCAGCCCGGACGTTCTCTGTGTGGCGGAGCTGGCTCCTTGGCGCACCTGTCCTCGGTTTCTCCACCTGCCAAATAGGAGGGTGACGGTTTGCACTCTGTGCTCTGAAACAGCACCTGGCCTGTCGGCCACGGGCTGAGGAGCTCGCTTGCTTGGGGACTTTGTGTGCAGCTTTGACCTTGAGTTTCTTCCTGCGTCAGTGGGAGGACGAGGGGCAGCCTTGCTCGTATCACGCCTTGCAGTACTCAGACCATTGTCCCGGCCGGTCTCTGGCCTGCTCTAACCTTACCCACTTGCCACAGGCTGCAGATGGACGAGGAGCTGCGGCGGGAGCGCGAGCGCGAGCGGGAGCGGGAGGCTGACCGTGAGCGGGAGAAGGAGCGTGAGCGGGAGCGAGAGAAGGAGCGCGAGCGGGAGAAGGAGCTGGAGCGGGAGCGGGAGAAGGAGCGCGAGCGGGAGCTGGAGCGCCAGCGGGAGCAGCGGGCCCGGGAGAAGGAGCTGCTGGCCGCCAAGGCGCTGGAGCCCGCCTTCCTGCCCGTGGCTGAGCTGCACGGGCTGCGCAGCCATGCCGCCGAGGAGCGGGGCAAGCCCTCGGAGCAGCTGACGCCAACGCGAGCAGGTGCCTGGGCGGGTCGGGCCTGCGGGCAGAGGTCTCGGCTGGCTTTGGGAAGAGCCCTCCTGTCGCCTCTGCCAGTTGCCGTGGTGCAGATTTTCCCACCGTGGCTGATCTCAAGCCACAGGTGTGATGTTGCTGAACACGGAGTTGGGAGCAGACACACAGTGGCTCATGATACAGACACAGTCGGTGTAGACAACCCCGGGAATGTGGACAGTGGTAAAATGCGCCAAAGTATTGGGAAGGGATGAGTTTTGAGCGCTTTTGTTAACCGTAACATAATTCATTCTGTTGCAAGTTCACGTCATCTAACTTTTAATAACGGCTGTGTCTGAAAACCAGCTCGCATGTTTCCTGACACTTTCACAGTCTGCTCTTTGAGCGGCGCGAGCTGGCTCTGGCACCCCACTGGCTGGTGAGGAGTTGCACCAGCCGGCCACAAAGCGTTTCCCTCTGGGGACAGGCGTGCTTCCCGACAGTGTCCATAGGGCACGTTCTGGGTGTCTCGTTCTGGCTGTGGGAAGAGCCCCTTTGTGGGACGGCTGGCTTCCCTGGGCAGGAGATGAGGGGTGCCGGCCTGCAGACGCTGAGACCTGCCGTCACGTGTGTCTCCCCACAGAGAAGCTGAAGGACACGGGCCTTCAGGCGCCCAAGCCCGTGCAGCACCCCTTGCATCCGGTGCCTGCGCCGCACCACGCCGTGCCCGGCCTCATCTCCAACCACGGCCTCTTCTCCCTGCCGGGCAGCAGCGCTGCCACGGCCCTGCTGATCCAGCGCACCAATGAGGAGGAGAAGTGGCTGGCGCGGCAGCGACGGCTGCGGCAGGAGAAGGAGGACCGGCAGTCTCAGGTGTCAGAGTTCCGGCAGCAGGTGCTGGAGCAGCACCTGGACATGAGCCGGCCCCCGGCGCCAGCGGAGGTGGAGCACAGGCCTGAGAGTGCCAGGTGGGTGGGCTCCGCGAGGGGAGCAGCAGTGTCTTGTTCCCGGAGCGCCGCCGTCTGCCCCGCACCCTTTCTCTTCCGTTTAATCTTCACGATATGATCCCCATTGCACCTATGACGAAGCTGAGACACTGAGCAGGGAAGTCAGCTGCTCAGAGCTGCCCCATCCACAAGTAAAGGGACCGGCCCAGGCCACGTCCAGAGCCAGGGCCCTGCCTGAGCGGCCCGGCCAGGTCCCCGGGAGGCCATTCGTGGCCCCTGAAGAGGGGGAGGTAGAAACTTCAGTTATTAGTAACAGCTGTTCTTAACATCTCTCTCTGCTTTTGAACTTGGACTGTTTTTAATGAGAAGAGCACTGCCTTTGATTTTTATTTAAGTAAAACATTAGGTTTATTGCTTTTTGTCGTAAAAGATAGACCCATTCTCAGTCCCATTAGAATTCTCATGGAGGCCTTTGTGCCTGCCTCTGCCCCCCCACCCACCTTACGCCCAGAGGATGAAGAGGGCAGCCGGCTCACATCTGGCATCGCTTGATAAAATCAGGGCACCCCAACTCGCAGGCCTCTTCCTCAGGGCTGCCCAGGACCCCAACACAGGTGTCAGGGCCTTGTCCGCTCACGTGCTGTTGCTTCCTGCCCGGGGGTCTCCACCATAAGACCTGTGAGCCCTGCGCTGGCCTGGGGTGTGGCGGGAAGCAGGGCCTGGCCCTTGCCTGGCCTTGTGTGTCCCCTGGCAGCTGGCTGTGCTCACAGTGTCGTGAACTGGATGTCCTGACGGGCTTTGTGCTCCAAGCTGGAAAACGGTTCAGTGCTTGGCTGTGGTGCGTGAAGTGTTTATTCTGCTGGCAGGTTTTATTGCTTTGCTGTTTGCTTAAGGACACACAGTGTCTCGGTACGTTTCCCTGTTGTACTGTGCTGCTCACAGGTGCGGTGGCGTCGGGTTTAGCTCCCAGCGGTGAGTGTGGAGTGGCTGAGAAGGGCCCAGGGGGCCGTGTTTAACAGCACCCCCCAGGCAGGGAGAGCCCTGAGAGCCTGGCCACGTGCCCACCGTGGCCTCTGCCCCATCCTTCTCCTCAGACCTTGCCCTGGGTTGTATGGGTTCAAACATCCTGTAACTGTCTCCCTTAAGGAGAGAAAAAAAACCTATGGAAAAACAACACCCAAAACATCCCTTTGTAAATTATATCGTTTTCAATGCACTCGGGAGCCAAGTCAGTTATTACGATGGTGAGGCATAGCATCTCGTCTCACAGAAGGTCCCCGTTGTTAGAAATCCCCTGGGATCCCCTCTCTGGCCCAGGCCCTTAGAGACCCCGAGGGCACAGCTGCTGCTCTGGGGCTTCAGCCTTATGCCACGTGGGGTCACCGCAGTTCTGATGGGGATGGCGGGGGACCAGCTGGGGCACAGGCCTCGTCCTGGCTTGGAGGGTCTCTGTCCACGGGTGGGCTCTGGGCCAGGCAGACACTGGCAGCTTGTGTCTCGCCACTGGCCTGGGCCACAGGGAGAGAGGAGCGACAGCACCTGTGAGGGCAGCCGGCCCACCCCCCAGGCCCCCCGTTGTCCGCCCCTTCCTTGGCGGAGGAGGGTGCCGGCGGCAGGGCTGCACTCCAGCACAAGCAGGTTTCCCCACGGAAAACAAGGGTGAGGGCCTGTCCTTACGGGAACTTGTACACGCAGGTGGAAGCAGGACCGAGGGCAGGTCTGGCCTGGGCCCGAGAGGGTCTCTGCCTCCCCGTCCTCTCAGCAGTTTCTCACCCACCTGTCTTGGGTCGTTTGAAGAGGAAATGGAGGGACGGGAAGCGCGAGGCTCTCCCTGCAGCCCCGGCCATCCGGGGAGCTGGCAGGTGCCCTGGCAGGCTGTGGAGGGCAGATCTGTCCTCTCGGGACTGATGGGCTCATCTGCTCACTGTCTAGGCCGGGACCAAACCGTCACGAGCCTGGTGGCCGAGACCCCCCGCAGCACTTTGGTGGGCCGCCGCCTCTGATCTCGCCCAAGCCCCAGCATCACACCGTGCCCACAGCCCTCTGGAATCCAGTGTCCCTGATGGACAGCGCCCTGGAGACACGGCGGGCCGAGAGCCACCCCCTGCACAGCCACCCCGCTGCCTTCGAGCCCAGCCGCCAGGCAGCGGTGCCGCTGGTGAAGGTGGAGCGGGTCTATTGCCCGGAGAAGGCAGAGGAGGGGCCGCGGAAGCGTGAGGCCACCCCCCTGGACAAGTATCAGCCACTGCCCCCAAGGGAGGCGGGGAGCCTAGAGCACCAGGCCTTCCCCCCTGGGCCTGGACCTTTCCTCGCTGAGCTCGAAAAGTCCACCCAGACCCTCCTGGGCCAGCAGCGGGCCTCCCTCCCACAGGCGGCCCCCCTTGGGGAGCTCAGTGGGCCCCTGAAGCCTGGCTCGCCCTACCGGCCCCCGGCGCCACGGGGCCCTGACCCCGCCTACATCTACGATGAGTTCCTGCAGCAGCGTCGGAGGCTGGTCAGCAAGCTGGACCTGGAGGAGCGCAGGCGACGAGAGGCCCAGGAGAAAGGTCTGGACTCCCTGGAGGGCCCCTGACCTGCTGGGGGGAGGGGGAGGGATTTGTTAGCAAGGACAAGGGAGCCCCAAGTCCAAGTTCCCCAGGTAACGTGCAGCCACCTGCCACTTCTGCTAGAGAAACAGACCCTCGGCCTCTTCCCTGTCGTGCTCGATGCAAATTGTCCCATAAAGCCAAATCAAAGCCGTCTGTAAAGACGGTTCTGCAGACACGTATGATTAATAAATGATGAACGGAGACTAATAAGATGGTTTTAAATATTAATAGTGAAGCATAACAGGGGAGCAGGCCAGCGACCGAGTGGGCCTGTGCCTAGCGGGGCTGCCACCATCAACCACAGGCAGGTGGGCTGGGGGGATGTGGAGGCAGCAGCCGGCACTGCCTAAGGCCAGGGCAGGAGGTCAGGCACTTCCCTCCTGTCTCTGCGGAGGGGTAGGGGGACCTCAGCCAGCTGCTGCCTAAGAGCCAGGGAGAGCAGGTAAGCAGGCCCAGGTGCGAGGGCTGTCCCCACCTGCACCCAAGTCTGGCCAGGAGAAAGCAGGGCCTCAAGGCCTCAGCAGACACCCGGCAAGGGGCTCCAGCCCAGCATTGAACACGGCCTTCTCAACCAGAGGCTGGGGTGCAGACGGAGTCTTCCTGGGTTGTTGGTCTAGGCTAGGTTTAGGGCCCAACTGGGGTTTTTCTCCTAAACTCTCCTTGTAAGGGAGGGAGGGGAACACCGCAGTGCCCCTGGGGCAGGGGCTCTGCTATCGTTCTCTGTGCATTTGAGAGGATGAGTCCGTGTGTGCCTGTTCCCTCCCAGCTGATACAGCCAGATGGCCACAGCAGGAAGGAGCATGTGTGTACAAACAGCCTTGTGTTACTGTGGACACGGCCCCAGGCCTGTGTGGTGAATGGTCCCATGTTGGGGGAGGAGGTCAGTGTTAGGCCAGAGACTGCACAGCCCTGTGGGGGCCCCTGGAGCCGTGAATCCGAGGGAAGCCTGGTACGTGCTGTACCTAGGACGGGGATCGATGGAGGTTTCCGCCTGGCCTGATGGGTAGTCTACACACATGTACCCGGAGCGCATATCCCCTGTATAATCAAAGGCTTCTTGCCTGGCTGAGTACAACCGTTTCTGCCATCAGGGTACTACTACGACCTGGACGACTCTTACGACGAGAGTGACGAGGAGGAGGTCAGGGCCCACCTGCGCTGTGTGGCTGAGCAGCCGCCCCTCAAACTGGACACATCCTCCGAGGTACTGGGCTCTCGTCGCCACTGTTGCGCGCTCTGGGCTGGGCTCTTGGCTTCCACACCCCTGGCCATCCCTGTGGAGGTCCTGGTGTGGTCTGTGCTCCGTGCCCCCAGCTCCTCTGTGGCCTGGCACAGACGTTCAAGGACCCCAGGAGAGGGGCCCCAGGACAGTGAAAACATACCACTGTCAGTGGCTTCAAACTCATTTGTTTTCTTTCCCAATCTAGAAGCTAGAGTTTTTGCAACTTTTTGGCTTGACCACCCAACAGCAGAAGGAGGAATTGGTGGCCCAGAAGCGGAGGAAGCGGCGGCGGATGCTGAGAGAGCGAAGCCCGTCGCCTCCGGCAATTCAGAGCAAGCGGCAGACACCTTCGCCAAGACTGGCGCTGTCCACCCGCTATAGCCCCGACGAGATGAACAACAGCCCTAACTTCGAAGAGAAGAAGAAGTTCCTGACCATCTTCAACCTTACCCACATCAGCGCCGAGAAGAGGAAAGGTATGGCCTCAGCTGGGAAGGGTGGCCATGGGCTTCTCAAGCAGCAGGCGGGGCCCACGGGCTCCAGGCAGGATCTGGGAACGCTCAGTCCTGAGGTTCCTCTCTGCTTGTGCAGACCTGCCCCGGTGGCTTTTACCTGGCACCCTCAACCTGTTTGGAGCCCATTTGCTCTTGTTGCGTCCTGGGCAGCCATGAAGACTCAATGGTTTTCTTTCTGTATGTAAAGCCCATCTCGAGCTGACAACTGCCCTTGTTTTTTATCCATTTTCTAGCGCCTGAGAGGCGCATCTCTGAGCGGAGTGCTTTGGTGACTGCCCCTGGCAGTGAGGGGAGCTGCTGGGCCCTCCAGGTATGCGTGGTGCAGGCTCTTCCTCTGCTGGGCCGCTAACGTGGGCCAGTCGGCTTTGTGTGCCAATGGCAGGAGGGAGGTGTGGGCATGGCCTGTAGCCACCAGGCAGAGCACCACATGCTGTGAATGGATGCTTCCAGATTGGTCTGGCCACCAGCTGGGGCAGACCCTTTGGGCTAGAATCCGTACAGCAGAAGAAATGGTGCCCCTGCAGCACTGTCTCAGGGTTTCTGCTTCCTTGGTCTGCCTGACACACGCCAGCTCGGTGCCAAGACGTGGTCATTCCTGGCCGTGCCCCTTCTCCTGCCTCCAGGCCCCTTGCAGACACCTGGCCTACTCCCTGGGAGAGTCAAAGGAAAGCAAAAAGTATTTCTTGGTCCTTTAATTTAAAAAAAAAAAAAAAACATGTTGAAGGAACTAAAATATAGCAGTTTATTTTTCTTTAACCAATAAGTTGAAGTTTTCACTTTGCCTTTGAGGGTTAGTGACATGTTGATTACCAGCACAAATCCTAGAAATGTGCAGTTTTGTTTGCAAAAACCATCTTTGTGCCTGGCTGAATTTCTAGAGGAAGCCATAGGCAACGTGGCTGCTTAAGTTTCAAAGTCATCAAGAAGTGCCACCGAAACAGGAATTCACTCCGCAGAACATCTTCGGATCTTCGTTCTTTTATAGGAAACGGCGTCAACCGTGGAGTAGCACTGGAGCACCACGAGCGGGGGGAGGGGAACGTGCTGAGCCTCAGGGGCCAGGTGTGGACATTTGGGTGTTGCCTTGTGTAGGGGCTACTTTTGTCTTAAATAAGAATACCTCCTTCGAAGTCGCTGCGGAAGACCCTGGGTACATGGTATTGCGCTGAGCTGTGATCACTGCACACACAGCTATCTTGGAATACACCCAAAACGCCGCGTAGTAAATGCCAAGAGGACTCTGAGCTCGCTTTAAAACGAAGCTTTCTTCCTTTAAACACGGCCTGTCCCATGGCACTTGCTTTTGGTTTTTCTTGGTTTAAAGTGCTTGTACCTGCCTGTCAGGACTAGGCTAGAATCCTACTGTCCTTCCCTCTCAAAATGATACAACCGCCTCGTTAATCTCAGGCTGCTTTTCTCATAGACAAAGAGAGGCTTGTTGAAATGCTCCGTGCCATGAAGCAGAAGGCACTGTCAGCAGCAATGGCAGACTCCTTGACAAACTCTCCGAGGGACAGTCCTGCCGTCTCCCTGAGTGGTAAGGGAAGGACAGCCCCACCCGCCACGCCTGAGACCATCCTGTGGGCTGCCTGGGGTCAGAGGCAACCACTCAAGGTCTTCATCGTCATGAACCTGACCTCCTCGAGACTGTCTCTTTCTGTCCCTCATACAAGCTTACGGTTCCCACCCAGCTGCGATGGTCCTCGGGACACAGCGCGAGAGTCAAGAGGCAGGTTCAGGATTGAGGGGAGGGTCCCAGCTTCTGCAGAGCTCTGTGAGGTGGTCAGCAATTGTCGTCCCTCTGCCGTGGCACCAGGGCTTGTTAGGAGGCCAGCCCAGTTCAATGGGACGAGGCTGCCTGCGCCACTGCGGCACTGTTCCAGGAAGGAGGACCTGGTCCCAGCGCTGGCCTGCCCTGGCTCTCTTCTTCCTGCATCTTTGTCTTACTCATTCTTCCTTCTAGGCCTTGTCAGCACCTGCTTTCACACCTTCTCTCTCCTTACGCCTCTGATTGTGCCTCTCCGCCCTGCCAGAGGAAGCAGGGAGTCTTCATGGTCCAGCCCAGCTCCCACATGCTCTTTCTTGCCCAGCTGGACTAAATGTCTCCGGACTGTCTTGATGTCTTGAAGCCACTCGCTGCTTCCTTCAGATCTTTTTTCCCAGGTGCCTTCTTGGGGCACTTTTCAAGGATGGACTTGCTGCTAAACACACCACTATCTTCAGACTTGTAGCCGTGTGCACGATGGTTAATTAAATGCCCCCCGAGTCTTGGTTTTTTGCACTAGGTCTTTGTTAAACATAGGCTGTAGAGACCAGGGTCCGTGTGCTGGACGCTTAGCCTGTTAACTTGTAGCTTTTAACATTTTCCTTTGCTTTCTGTCTCTAAAAGAACCAGCCACGCAGCAAGCTTCTCTGGATACGGATAAGCCTGTCGCTGTTGCCACTTCCTCGTCTGACGTCCCAAAGGCCGGGGAGCCTGGGAAACTGGAACAGTTCCGGCCCCAGGAGCTATCGAGAGTCCAGGAGCCAGCTCCTGCCAGTGGTGAGGCGGCCAGGCTGAGCGAGGCCCCTGGGGGCAAGAAGAGCCTGAGCATGCTTCATTACATCCGGGGCACAGCGCCCAAGGACATTCCTGTGCCGTTGTCTCACAGCTTCAATGGGAAGAGCAAGCCGTGGGAGCCCTTCATGGCGGAAGAGTTTGCACATCAGTTCCACGAGTCAGTGTTGCAGTCCACACAGAAGGCCCTGCAGAAGCATAAAGGTAATGAGGCTGCCCGTCCCCACTCGGCCCCCGTGCTGCGACAGCGGCTGGCTGGTGGTCCTGAGCGCCAGCAGCTGCTCAGCCGTGGCCATGTGCAGCGATGGTGCCTCTCAACCCTCAGTGCCCAGGAACACCTGGGGATCTCGTCAGGTGCAGGTTTGGGGTGGGGCCCAAGACTCCATTTCTAGCAGGCTCCTGCGTGACCCTGATATTGCTGGTCTCTGGACCATGCTCCCAGGATATTTAGCAAATGATACTATTTGAGTTTGCTAAGTCCAAAGGAGGTACCCTGCTGGCAAAAACAGTACTCTGCGTTCCTAGAGTCTGCCACAGGACCTACCTGGAAATTTCTCTGGTCCTTTGACTAGGCACCAGCAGGTGTCTACTGCACCAGGCCTGGCAGGCACTCTGTGATGTGACAGTTGCCCTGGCCCTGCATCTGAGTCTCCAGATTGACTGAGGAGTCCCTAAAGGTCAGAGAATGGGAGTCGCTACCTTTTATCCCCAATGGATCAAAAGTTGAAATTGATTAGAAAAGAATCCTCAACAATTAACTGAGTATGAAATTTTTATAAACTCCAGTAGCCAGAAGGAAATAATTTAGTTGTTATGCCAAAACCATGTTTAAGTGTGTATTACAAGCTCTAAAAGCTGAATAGATAAAAAGCATTGTTAGAGGTCTACCTCGCGACACTGTGCTGTGTCTTTTACCTGAGTTAGTACTGTCAGCAGATAAACTGATGCATAAGGAGCAAAGGGGAGAACACCTGTGGGCACTGGTTTTTATAGTGATTAACAAAGACACCCCCAAAATCAGGAGGAGTGCTTTATCGGATTTTTACCATCAACTTACTTGAAAATCGTATTTTTCAAGACAAATGCTTGATGAGATGCAAATGGCTCCCGCTGCTGCAGGCGGGACTCCCTTCCTTCACTGTGGCACCTACAGGAGACGCTACAGTCGGCCTCCCGTACCTGTGTGTTCTCCATAACCTCGGATTGGGAGTATTTAGGGGAAACAATTCCACAAAGTTCCAAAAATACAAAACTTGAGTTTGCCCCGTGCCAAGGACTGCATTGAATCCACACAAACAAAGCGGTGTGTGGGCCTCAGATTAGATACCATGAGTCGTCGTCGAAAGTACACGGGAGGGTGTAGGTTATGTGCAAATACTGCGCCATTTTATATAACAGACTTGAGCATCGTCGGGTTTTAGTGTATCCTTGGAGGTCCTAGAACAAATATCCCTCTAAACCGAGGGACAGCTGTACAGTAAGATTTTGAAATGCTTTTAGAAGTTCGCAGGCGCCCCCAGTCCCTTCCAGGCGCACTTTACAGAGGCTTTTGTGTGGCCCTAGGACACATTTTTCCTGCCTTGTTTTATTCCAACTCTCTCCTGGCCTTAGACTTCTCACGATTTTAAAGTTGCCCTGCCAGGACGGACGCAGTGGCTCACGCCTGTAATCCTAGCACTCTGGGAGGCCAAGGCGGGCGGATCATTTGAGCTCAGGAGTTCGAGATCAGCCTGAGCAAGAGCGAGACCCCGTCTCTACTGAAAAAAATAGAAATAAATTAGCTGGACAACTAAAAATATATAGAAAAAATTAGCTGGGCATGGTGGCACATGCCTGTAGTCCTAGCTACTCGGGAGGCTGAGACAGTAGGATCCCTTGAGCCCAGGAGTTTGAGGTTGCTGTGAGCTAGGATGACGCCACGGCACTCTAGCCAGGGCAACAGTGAGACTCTGTCTCAAAAAAAAAAAAAAGTTGCCCTGCTATGCCAGTTTGAGCCAAACCAGTCCCCCGATTAAGCCAGCTTTAGGGTTGCCACCCACACAGCATGTGCCCTGAGATGGCGAAGACAGGTCATAACAAAGCCGACTCCTGGTAGAGGGCAAAACCCCAGCTGAGCTCAGGGACTGAAATACCTGTCCATTTCAGGAAAAGAGGGGTCTGCTATTTACTGAGGGCCAACTATAGACCAAGCTCAAACCCACAAAGAAATTCAAGGTCAGAGATGTACTCTGCCAAGATGATCCACACGCTAGGATTGGTTGGAGCTCAGGTCTGCCACTGTCCTTATTTCTGACCTTTCCTTATGGTGTTGGCTTTGGCCAGATTTTCCGTCTGCCTGGAGACCTGCACTCACCCTGACTCTGCACCAAAGGCAGGGCAGAGTTCCCTTTTGTGACAATGTCCTGTGTCCGTACCCCCTACACACTGTGACCTGAGCCCTGTCCTTTCCTCACTAGGGAGCGTAGCTGTGCTGTCCGCAGAGCAGAACCACAAGGTCGACACGTCCGTGCACTACAACATTCCCGAGCTGCAGTCCTCCAGCCGTGTCCCTCCACCCCAGCATAATGGGCAGCAGGAGCCCCCCACCACAAGGAAGGGTCCCCCCTCCCAGGAGATGGACCGGGACTCAGAAGAGGATGAGGAGGAGGACGATGATGGAGAAGATGACGAAGAAGCCCCCAGGCACAAGTGGCAAGGGATTGAGGCAATTTTTGAAGCCTACCAGGAACACATAGAAGGTACAGGACGGGGTAGTGGGAGGAGGGGTCCATGAGGTCAGTTTGGAAAGGAGGCTAAATGACCAATTCATACAGGACTTTGCCAGACTTAGTTTTCAGGGTACCAGAACTTACAGTTCCTAGGCATACTAGACACAAATACCAGAAGGCATGTGTTCCCCAGGCTGGTGTAGTCACTGTCTCATGCTCAAACTCAAGGCCGTTCTCACGGGGGACATGTAAGTACCGTAACACCAGCTATGTGTGGAGCCTGTCACTTAGCATGATGGCCCAAATGCAGGCCCTGCTCTCTGGACTGCATCTAAAATACTGTTAGTCCTGACGCATGCCTTGGCTTCATACAAGGGTCCTGGACTTAGTTGGAGCCCTGATGCCTGACCCAGTCACCGCTTGAGCCTGCCTCACACCTGGTGACCACCCCCTTCACAGGCATGACAAAACCCCCATACTGCAGGGACAGCTCCAGGGCCAGTGTGTGCCAGTCACGTTTTCAGATACCTTTACTCTGAAGTTCACCTCTGGACAAGCACTTTGCTGGAATAGGCATGCTCTTGGTAAAGGCTTAGCCAAAGGCTTGCCTCCCCTGGCAGAACCCAGAATGTTCTCCTGGGGAAGCCAGGGCACTGGATGGACTCAAGCACACAGCTCCCATGTTGGGGAGTAGGGTCAGAAGGCATATGGAGTTGGGTACCGTGGTGTTTACAACACACCACCTCATTCCTCTGTTTCCCCAGAAATAGCACGGCCGTGCAGCACGGCCAGGCCCCACTGCTGCCTTCTGCAGTTGATCACCCTATCACAGAAGAGCTTTCAGCTGGGTGTGGGGGCTCAGGTCTATAATCCCAGCACTTGGGGAGGCTGAGGCAGGAGGAGCAGTTGAGGCCAAGAATTTGAGACCAGCCTGGGGCAATACAGTGAGACTCCTGTCTCTACAAAAAAAAGAAAAAATTTGGCAGGTGTGACAGTGTACACCTAGTTCCAGCTACTCAGGAGGCCGCGGTTTTATCATGTATTATGATGTCATGCAGACTTGATTATAGACATCAGGCATTTCAAATACTACTTCGAAATGTTTGAATGGTATTTTTTAAACCATAGAATTGTCCAGACTAACAAAACAGACACCTGTGTAGCCACAGCCAGGGTGTGGGACTGTGCTCCACTTCCTCCCTTCCCTCATGGGAGTCCTTATCTTGAATTCATGGCCCTGCAACTCCCTTACATGCTGTTATTTCTTAAAGTTAAAAAATAATGCTATATGTTGCCTCTGGACATGTATGTGTGAGTTTTTGGTACCTTTTTTGGTGTTTCTTCCCTACCCCAAAGTTGTGAGGATGTTTTTCTGTATTTTCTTCCAGAAATCTTTAGGTTCTACTTTTCTTATTCTGCCTAGAATGCATTCGTGAGTACAGAGTAAGGCAGGAATCAAACTGCACCTTTCCCACCCAGACAACTCGTTGTCCCCGACAGCTTATGTGGTGCACCCACGGGGTGTGTCCCGGTCAGGCTGTGCCCATACACGTGCCGGATCACCCGTCCTCTCCTGGCCTGCCCCAAGTGGTGCCAGCCCCTGACTCAGTCTTCTTTAACTGCTGCTCAGCTGTTCTTGGCCCTTACCTCTCCCCCATGAATTTTAGGATCACCTTGTTGTGGTCTATTCCCAAAAGACCCTGTCAGGAATTTCAGTTGCATTGAGTTTACAGACTTGGGGAGAACTGGCATCCTTATCTATGAATATGGTATAAAACTATATTAAATAATTTCTATTCTTCTCCATAAAGTTCTTTTACTGGATTTAGGTTTCACTTAGTTTTTTACTTTGGGTTTTTAAGTTTTCATTACCTATTCCGTAGGTAGCAACCATAGCTGGTAATCACAGACAATCAAACCATCTGGTTCTTCCCTTTTGAATTCCATTACTTCCAATTTTGTTGTTGTACTACTGTCATGTAGGACCTCTAGTGCTGTCAGAGGCTTGTCCTGTTTGTGAAACTTTAGGCGCATTCCATTGAAGAGCGAAGGTGGCCAGGCACAGTGGCTCCCATCTGCAATCCCATCTCTTTGGAAGGCCGAGGCAGGAAGGTCACTTGAGGTCAGGAGTTTGAGACCAGCCTGGGAAACACAGAGAGACCCGGCTCTAAAAAATAAGATCAGCCAGGCATGGTGGTGTGTACCTGTAGTCCCAGCTATTTGGGAGGCTAAGGTGGGAGAATCACTTGAGTCCAGGAGTTTGAGGTTACAGTGATCTATGATGGTGCCCCTATACTGCAGCCTGAGTGACAGAGCAAGACCATTTCTCTAAAAAGAAGGGGAAAAATGAAGGTTCGCATTTGCTGAGTTTACATACTGTCAAAAGTTAACTAATATATTTTCTATAGACTGTTGAGATCCAAACCACCTTATCTTTCATCCTTTGATTTTCCTGATGTTCTACCCTTGATACCTTGATATGTTAGTACTTTTAGGATTTTTAATTTATGTTCTTAAGTAGTAGACTCTAATTTTATTGTACTTTGTTTTGCTATCAAGATTGTTCCAGCCTCTATAACATTAGTCAGGTAGCTTTCCCCGTTTTTTGTCCTCTGAAACACTTTGTAAAGTACGGGTTTATCCCTGAAGGCTTGAAATCATCCTTATTAAAACTAGCCCTGGCTGGGCGCGGTAGCTCACGCCTGTAATCCCAGCACTCTGGGAGGCCAAGGTGGGTGGATCGTTTGAGCTCAAGAGTTCGAGACCAGCCTGAGCAAGAGTGAGACCCCATCTCTACCAAAAATAGAAAGAAATTAATTGGACAGCTAAAAATTAGCCAGGTATGGTGGCATGCCTGTAGTCCCAGCTACTCGGGAGGCTGTGGCAATAGGATTGCTTGAGCCCAGGAGTTTGAGGTTGATGTGAGCTAGGCTGATGCCATGGCACTCTAGCCAACAGAGTAAGACTCTGTCTCAAAAAAAAAACTAGGGCTGGTATCTTGGTAAAGCAGAGATTTTATTTTACTAATTAAACCTGTGTTTTCCATTTCTAAGTTTATTCTGGCTTTTTCCTTTTGCAAGATGCATTTTAAGGCCATAACATTTCTTCCTAATGTCTAACTCTTAATCTGCCTTTTGATTCTAGATCCTTTTGTTGAATTGGGTTTAATTTAGTGACATTTTACAAATTATTGGTACCATTCAAAGTGCTGGGAGCATTGTGGTCACCGGGGGCGGGGGGGAGAGGCCTTTGCTGGGCCAGGAAGACAGCGTGCAGAGGGCAGCACTCACCAGGCCTCTGGCCCCGCGCACAGAAGGTACATTGTCATCTCGTCTCTTTTCAGAGCAAAATCTGGAGCGGCAGGTGTTACAGACACAGTGCAGACGGCTGGAGGCCCGGCACTACAGCCTCAGCCTGACTGCGGAGCAGCTCTCCCACAGCGTGGCGGTAAGTCAGCAAGGAATGGAAGGGGTGTCTTAAAACATGGTGCTTTTCCCAACCTTTCAAGTTTAGGTTCAAGAGCACCCATAAGGATAAGTTTTAGAGGGGAAATCTCTTCTTAAGGGGAAAATTCAGGTACTGGTTGATGATCAAGATATAGCTAAGGAGCGAAGTATCTTTAGCTTGCAGAATATCGATCCTAGGAGAGCAAAGATGCTACTTACATATCCCTCTTGGAGAATTACGTATTGCCTGTAGCAGTCTCCTACTGTGATTTGCCCAGAAGGGTGGAAGATGGTTTTATCGGAGAAGGAAAGCTCTTGAGGCAACCAAAACCATCTCACGCCACCTTCAGCCCGGCTATGCTGGGGTGGGGGGGTCATCCATCAGGCTTCCTCCAGGGGCAAGGAGCAGGTCTCAGGTCACCCCCCCAAGTTCTTACATCTGCAGGTTCCAAGACTCAGGGTTTGAGCCAAGACAGCAGGGGACACCAATTCTTTAAAAGCAGGTATTGTGAGAATCTAGGGCTCTGGAAGAGCCAGTTCAAGCTGTCCCCAGAGGCCACTCTCAGAACACAGGCTGGAAGGGGATATATTCAAAGTGGAAGGTTTGCCTTTCCACAAGGCATCCGATGTTTTCATGCACCACACGCATTTCCTTACCAGCAAGATGGGTTTGTTTTGACGTGAATTTCCTTCTTCGCAGGAGTTGAGGAGCCAGAAACAGAAGATTGTCTCAGAAAGGGAGCGGCTCCAGGCAGAACTGGACCACTTACGGAAGTGCCTTGCCTTGCCTGCAATGCATTGGCCTAGGGGCTACTTTAAGGGATATCCCAGGTGACGGTTTCCCTTGCACTAGGCTGAACCTATAGTATAGAAATATTATCTATTTTATTACCTTGAATATTTAATATTTTTCACTGGGAGGTTTGAAGCTTAAAAAATTAAGAATGTGCCATGCATGAAGCAAAGGATTCCAGGCTCCAGAAAGAAAGAACGGACTCACCTTGACTTCAATGCAGTTGAATCACCTTTGTCAATCAGCGAGCAACCAATGTAGGACGCCCATAGTTTTTCTTTTTAAAGGTCACTTACTCCTCCTTCCCCCACTTCATAATTTTTTAATCTGAAAATGAAAGCTCCATTACCAACACTAAAACTTTATCATTCATAGCCCCCGATGCATATGATTGGATCAGACCGGTTATTTCCCGTTTTTGTGTTGCCATGTGATTATGCCTCAAGAACGAAGTTTGCTTTTGCTGCAATGATGAGGTGGGTCTCACTCCTCCAGGAATGAGACTTGCTTCGGCTGAAAAGGTTGGGTGCATTGTAAATAAAAAGGGCTTATTTGTTTGTTACTTTCCTGCAAAATTTTCTTGAAATCAACAGGTCCTAGCAGCACACAAAGCAACAACCCAAAGGCTTTTCCCCGGAAAAGCTCTTACCTAAAGATAAAACAAATCCACAAACAAAGGTACCTTTTTATTACTCTGAGGGGGAGAGAATGTACAGAGCTCTATGTATACATATATTCACACCCACCAAATTGTTACTGCAGTGGGTAGTGTTTTCATACAAACGTAAATTTTGAGAGAAAAGTCAAAGGTGCTTCAGCCTTGTACTGTGTATATATATTAAAAAACAAAGTTTTGTATGTTTTTATTACTTTAATTATTGTTATAAAAAGCCTGCCATTTTTAATATGTGGTTTGGGGGATTTTTTTGTTTGTTTTTCCTGTTTGGGGATTTTGTTTGTTCTGTTTGTTTTTCTGGGCAAAAAACCTTGCTTTTAGTGTTTGTACTGCTGCTGGTCAGGACATTAAAATATTGAAGTGTTTTTAAAAATTAAAGAAGAAGAAAAGTAAAAGAGCTTACCACTGGCGCCTATGCGATCACTTCATTTTTAATTTCAGTTGCACCAGAAACTGATGTAGAAAGCCATGCGTTACTGCTTACCTCCTCCTCTGCCCCCACCCCACATCTGGACACACTAATAGCAGATACAACCCATTGCTATTAAGTGAGGAGGGGAGAGTCTGTGATGGGAACAAAGTAGAACCTATGTGTGGCAATCATGTGAGAACACATGAGTGGGGCTTTAAAAAAAAAAAAAAAAAAAAAACCTTTCAGGAAATAATTTCTGTGCTAGAATTCTAAGATGCCTGAGAGCAGGTGCAGAGTAGCAACGTTAGAGGCTTTATATAGATGCAAACCTCTGTAAAAGCCTAAAGTAGGTTCGATGTCTGAGCTGAACCCCTCCTTTTGAACTTACTTACCGTGACAAGCACAGGGATGGCCAGAGACCGGGCTCATCACACCAAGGTGAAGCAGTGGGCAAGTCTTTCCTCCTTGTCCCAGTCACTGCTTGTTCAGGCAGTGTGTAGATCAAGAAGGCATGTGTTGCCCAAACAGGTCCTCACCAGAGGCCAAGGCAACCCATCACTCAGTGGTCTGATGGGGGGAAGCAGAGGCCTGGCCCCAGGCAGGGCAGATGCCCTGTGTGCTGGCTGCTCACTGCTGTGACCAGTGGCTGCATCCTCAGCCCCAGCCTTTGCTGTGCAGAACAGCTTGCTTGCAGCTGGCATTGTGTTGCTTTATCGGCCCCTGCACAGTTTGCTTTGTACATCTGCCAAGAATCTTCCAGTTATTAGCAAACTCAGACAAATGTGCCGCCAGTATTATCAGCAGTCAACAAGCACCTTCCCTCTCCACAGAGGCAACTGGAAGAGGACTCAGTGGGCTGTGCTGCAGTCCTCCTCCCCTGAAAGACATTGAGAGGTCAACATGTTCTACAGGTATTCAGAGGGAGCTACGCTGCCAACAATCAGGGCAAAATCTTAATCTCTCTACTTAAAATCTGCTTGCAGTTTCTGGTCTGAAAGCCAAAGTCACATCTTAGCACTTCACTCCCAGGCCGCCTCCTACATCACAGGTGATGTCTGAATGCTTTTGCTAATGAGCTTTGGTAATGGCCTTGGCTAAGTAAAAGGAAAAAGTAGATCTCATAACATACTGGAAAAGAAAAGCACAGCCCATCCCTTGCCATCCAAGGGGAGCGCCCTTGGTTGGATTTCTTGGTATGGGGAGAGTTCATGGCCCAGGGACAAACGACTTGCTGTTACAGAGAGGTCTGCGGGTGAGACTGTCGCTGAGCTAGCAATAACTGCTTTCTCCCCTTCTGGGTGGAAATTACTCCTTTCCCCTACCCTTGAGCCTCTCGCCCACTCTGCCTCACCATTCTCCCACCTGCCTAAGGCGATCTCTGAACATTCATATGCTCAAGAAATGACAATCAGAATACAAATACAAACCAGTAAGGCAGCGCGAATAAACTAAGAAAATATCTCTTGAAAACAAAAGTGCACCACTAAGACGTATCTAACAATGGTTTTCGCATCCAACACTTAGTTTTATATAATCTGAAAACACTTATTTTCCTATAATTCTGAAAGGACAGTCACATCTAAATCTGTTTTCAGTTGGGCTTCACAAAAATTTGACATATATGCGATCTCTGAAGCTTTTCGTTCAGCTCTTTCACCACTGCGTTGGAAACAAAGTTAAGCACATCGAATGTGCCCTAGAGTCGATTCTGCATCCTGTGTGTCAGTATTTGCGTGACACCCTCAGTCTTTCTCGACTAGGAGTCTTCCTGTGTTACCTGGAAGGGACAGCTGCCCTCTGCAGAGGAATTCACTATACTTTTGAGGGATACCTCCCAACACTAAATCTGGTTCCACATTTAATCTTTGAAACAACTTTTTATTTGTTTCATATAATCAGAGCCAAAGTGACATAATATCATGCTCCTAATCCATTGTCTCAGCTAAGTGACCAAGGTAGGATTTAACATTTTAGTCTATATCTTAAAGGGATAGAACACTTAATTGGCATTAACATTCTAACAGATTATACCCTTACGGATATTGAGTATTAAAAGGAGCCCACACCTTCAGCAGCAAAGAATTACAACGCAGGAAATCTTAAGCGTGTAGCAGAATGGTATTTTCCTCAAGTAGCTCACAATACTGCCAAATCTCAAAACTTAAGCTGAATTTCAAACCCTTTTCCATCTGAGCTGTGTGTTTAATTAAAGCGTAGAAAATTCCAGGGATCCGCCACAAGATGGAGATGGTCAGCACAAACCTATTCTGTTACTCTTTAAAGTGTATATTAGCCACTTAGCATTCTCTATACTCTGTCAAGTAACCAACCTGTTGACTTTCTTACTACTTGCAGTAGCCTGTCCCCAACTTTTCCATGCAGTGCTTAACTTAAAAAAACCCCTTAACTCCGCCTTGACCTGAGGAAGGCCATGCCAATTGGTTGTGTTACTTTGTATGTACCCTGTGCTTATCGCTAGAACAGTAAACCCAGACTCGGGTGGGAAGGAGGAACACCGATGCCTCGGTCACTCTGGGGGCAGTTTAGATGCTGTGAAATTAAACCTGTTCTAAGTGTACTTGTTTGAATTAATTGTATTGTATTATTTGTTGAATGTAGTAATTAGGTATTTATGAATATATTGCTGTAATTTCTGACAACATCCAAAAAATAAAATCGTCCTAAATCATGTTAAGAGGAAAATCTTTTTTACATTATAATAAAATAAAAGGCACCAAAAGAAAAGCTCAACAACTATATCATTTCACGTAAAAGGTGAAGACAGATTTAACTGTACTTCAGCTGATGTAGGTTTTAAGACCAAGGTATTAGGAGTGAGATCAGACACACAGGACCTCTGACCCTCCACAATAAAAATTAGTTTCATTCTAAAAGCTCTCCAGATGAAATCTGGAGGATTCTGAGTAAGGGTGAGATGAAAAGACAAGTCCTATGCCCCAAAACCAACCCTCTGAATAGTACCTTAACTACGGAGCTACCTTCTGGTCAGAACCCTCTGGGTCTGGCCCTCTGTGTCCAAAGGACAACCAAGCAACGTGGACGTTTGAGGGCAGGCACTGGGCTGATGGTGCACATGCATGCTCAGGGCTCCCCAGACGGCGCGCTACTGCCTTTGATCTACCGGGTACCACTATCAGAAACCAGCTGGTTACAGAACTTCGTATTCATGACACTGGACGGTCATTTCCCTCCATCAAGGTTGTATGTTTTCATAAGGGACCTAGCAACTCGAAAATGCCACACTTGAATAGTCATTTTCTCTTAGGAAAAAAATAATTTCCCCTGAGCCACTGCTACCTACAACAGAGTCCTTCCCCTAAACCCACCAAGAACAACATTAGGAAGAGTCAGACCGTTAGTGTTGCGTCTTAAGCTTCACTCACATGTTTAATACGCTGGATTAGTTTCTCCCTGACTTTCCTCTTGACAAGCAACCCATTAAGCCTTAGCCATAGTCGCCACAGAGCAGGACACAGTGCTCCTCTCTGCAGTTTCCAATTGGCTGCCACACACCTTGGTAATCAAATTATCTTAGCTGCAGGGCTCAGCCCTTTTACTTGGTAGTTATACAGGACAAAAACCCAACAAAGTCAGATTGGGCTTGTTCCATTTTTATTGTGGATTGGAGCTTAGAGGATAAGCACTGGTCAGCATCACTAGCTGCTCCATCTGCCATCCTCTGAGAAACCTCTGTAGGAGTCTAAATTTAGCCCAAGAAATCAGGATCAAGAAGGGGGAAAAAAGCTGTCGGTACATCACCGCTCTCACTGTATCTACACCTAACAGTCACTGAACACTCGCCCATGCGTGACAGTTCTGCAAGGGAGAATAACTTATTTGCCTACACCTTTTCTCTCTTCCACGAAAGAAAAGCTGGCTTCTAGAAATAGATGCGGAATTAAAGAATATTCTGGGAGCCGAGATGAGGACTAATCACAGACTTGTTTCACCAACACTGTTACCAGTGTATTCCCTGCACCATCACACATGTTTTTCATACGGTCAAAAGTGTTTCTTGAGCTCCAGAACCACGAGTACCTCTGTCCTGTCCCCCAGCAAGCCGCCGGCCGCCAGACCTGTACGAATCACAAGCTTCTCTCTAGAAGTCCTGAGACTGGGCACCCTCAGAAGGTTGCAGGTTTGTGCGGAGTTTGTACATGTGATTGAGCGCCCGTGTGAGAAAAGCCCCGCTGGTATTGATCTCCATCAAGGTCAAGTTATCCAGCTAAAACAAAAGAAAACAGACCAAGTTCACCAAGAAGTTTTTGATTTTGAGAAAAAGATAAACTCCGCTGAATAAAATTAAGAAACCGATGTTTTTTGTTTTTAAAGCACAGCTAGTAGTCCTTGCTTACAACAGCCTCAGCAGGCAGGATGCCACGTGAAATTCTTCCGCGGCATCCGAGCCCTGCCCGCTGGCACCCAGGCGAGGCGGATGCCAGAGGGAAGGCGAGATGTGCACCCACCTCGGCGTGCGCCTCCTGCTGTCTCACAAAGCTGTCAGCGGACACTCGCAGTTTGGCTATGCGAGTGTCCCACATGTCCTTGACCAGGGTCCGGATCTCATCTGCTTTCGGGATGTTGTCTGAAGCACTAAAGGAAGCAAGGGGTGAAATAAATCAGGAAGCAACACCGGACAGAGTGCTTTTTTCATGCAAAATACTTCAGCTATTCTAGACTCAGAAAACCTGTTTTGTTTTGTTTTCAATTTTAAGAGGTTGGGATTTGTAGCAGTTGAGCTTGGTGCCAAGGACATTGGGCAGTGATCCACACCGAGTTATTTTGCTCATGGTAACCATCCCACGGCAGGCTGTTACACAGGACTCTGTTTACCTAAGAAATTTAGGTACTAAAGAATCTGCTCTAAGTCCGACATCCTCTTCTCAGGGTAACAGTGCTCTGTGCTGCATAATCTCCATCTAGAACGAACTTGTTTCAAGGGCTGGCTCAGAGGTCCTGACTTACGTTGCTCCCTAGTTACAGGGTGTCGAGCAGGTCCCTATTGCCCACCAGTACCCCAGGGGCTCACGACCCACCAGGGAAGGCAAAGGCCCACTGTGTCAGGCGCTATGCTTAGCACTTATGCGGCATCTCATCCTCACAAAAGCCCTGAAGGGTAGGGATTATTTCACTCTTCAGATAAAAATAAGTTACAAAAATCACAGAACAAATTGCAAATTAGCAAAGTGAGCGCACCTATACATAGCAAAATTCTAGGTAAAAGTTCAAAGTCAGGATAGTAACAGCCTTCCTTTGTGAAATATATTTTAACTAACCTTTGAAGAAAAAGACAGATAAAAGCAGAAGTAAATATTGTTCATCACTAGGCATCCTCAGTTAAGCTAGAAAGTCTCTCTCCATATGCTACAATTAGCTCAGGATTAGTAGACGGCAGATCAGTGGTACAAAACTTACATGGCATACTTTACTTATGAACCCAAACATTTAGATCTTGTGCTCTGAACAGCAGGCTAAAGAACAAGGACCCCAAGTCCTTATCAACCAAACTACAGAACAAATGTGAAATTAGGTCCCTTAGCCAAATGATTCTAAAACCAAGTTTTTGGTAGAAACTGCATACATAATATATTGAACCTCGAAAACTAAAAACGAACAGGCCCCCTTCACCTGGCTAACACCAACTTCTTACCTAGTCTGTTTCCAGATCTTCCCCTTCCAAGCTACTGCCCCCCCCTCACAGCCACCTCAGTGGCTCTCAGATCCCTCTGATGACACGCCCCTCCCCCAGGGGCTCTCCATTGCCACAGAATCAACGTCTCCACTGCCTGCTCCCACACACGCCGTGGTACCTCTGCTTCCCCAACACACCAACACCTTCACACTCCGTGCCTGAGCACGACCAGCTCCTCCTGCCTCACTGCCCTCTTTCCTACAACTCACCTCGTGATTCCTCACAGCGAACCTCCTCCATGAGCCCATCTCTGGCACCAGCAGGCCTGTAGTCCACGGACTCCCAACAGCACTGGCCACACTGCAGTTTAACTGCTGGCCAACAGGTTCACATCTCCCCCCGACCAAACTAGGAACTCAGGCCTATGTGACTAATTCCACTAGCAGAACGCTCAGTGTGTTGCTGGGTCTAAGATTTTATTGAACAAATGGGTGAACTGCTGCCTCATATCCACCCAAGCACAAGTCCATGTGTGTACCCAAAGTTTTCCTTTAAATCTGGCAGTGCCATTCAGTGCTGCCCTACAGTAGGCAGCAGTACTAGTATCTCAATTCTTAGTTCTAGTCCTGCCCTGGAACCCATCCATTAAAAGATGCTCAGGGAGCTTCAAAAGCTTGACATTTTGCGAATTAAATTCTAAGTATCTCCCAGGCAAAGGTATCCACATTGGCCTTCTCCCTTTACTGGTTTCACTCATTCATTCAAGAAACACGAGCACCAGGCACCATGCTGGTGACACAACGCATACACGACACAGCCCCTGCCCTTTTAGAACTGGGGTGTGTGCGCACACGCGCATACAATGGCACAAAGGATTAGTAAATTATGAGCACGTCGAACACCACAGTGGCGTACAGAGCTGCCAAAAGAACATGTGCACCGAATCTGGGAGAAATACTTGTTATGCCAAACCACTGAGGTGAGCAGGGAAGGGTGGAGGGAACAGTATGTGCAAAGCCATGAGGACCCCAGTATGTCTGAAGAAATGACAGAGGCCAGTGTGAACCTGAGCCCTACAGAACCAGAGGGAAGAACTGTAGAGAAGTGTGAAAGAGGGAAGGAGGGGCACCCACCAGGCTGTGTGTGTACTGCCGGAACACCACCCTCAGGACTTAGACAATCCTGGAAAGGCTCCGAAGATTTCTAAGTAGGAGAGTCACATGGCGGCTTTGCCTTTAAAAGGCCCCTCTGGCAGCAACATGAAGAATGAATTAGAAGCCAATGTGGGGTGCTGTACGGCTGTAGGCAAACAAGTTAAGGAGTTGCCATAGCATGTTTTTGCCATGAGTGGGCTCTCCCTATAGTGCAGAGGCAAACGTGAGCCCTCTGGCCCTTCCTGTGAAGGACACACAAGAACTCAAATCCACATACGCCGAGGAGAAAAAGGAGTAAAGCTGTACTACATAAAACGTGTATATTATTAAGGCTGCTGCTGGCGGCTCAGACCTGACTAATGTCAAGTGATAGGAGGTAGAATGAGAAGAGCCAAGGGATTTACCAGGGGGTGGAAAAAAGGAAAAATGAGAGACAGAGGGGGCAGGGGAAGGAGAGACAGAGACGGGGG